TGGGACAGAAAACAGTCCAAAAGAAAACATCCTTAAAATATGAGTGTCATACTTTTTATATAGCCGTAATTATATTGTTTTATAAATATTGAATATTAGCTATTTTGAGATTAATGTTGTTACATTAATATTAATACTTGATACTTGATACGTACGTAGTAGTAGTTGTTTACAGAGAAGTATTCATAATTTTAAAATTTTATTAAACTAATAAACTTTTGTGAAGAAAAATTCATTAAAAAATTAGCAATGAAATTTAAAAAATTTAATAAATCAAAACATATAGAATTTTAGGTCCTAGATTGATAGTTTTCAATCATTCGAGCCATATACTGACACATTTAATTTTCCAGGTCGATTGATAACTCATCTATCTTTCAGACCCTAGATTGATAATCTTCTTTAAATTATTTAAGCCAAGGAGTTTGAGTATAACTATTCTCCTGTCAAAGTGAAGGTCATATGTTCTAGTTTCATGTCAATCAATGAGGTTGACATTGTCATTGAATAGATACTATATTAGATTAGAAGGGTTGCCTAAAAAGATCTAGAATACATAAAAATGGATATTGATTCAACCAAAACTAGCGATGTTTCCTTTTGAATTGATTTGAGTCGTAGGCAGTGTTCTAAAAGCCGTGTGACGTGGCAAGGCATCAGAACCAGCCCCAAACTTTGAAACCTAGGCAAGAAGAGGCGAAGCCTAGGCGTGAAAAGGCATTTTGAATTTATTTTGATAATTACAATTTTATAGTGATGTATGAAGAAAAATAATAAAATGTCCAAAATATATTAAACAAAATTGAGCTTAAGTTTTACTTTGTTCAATATATAGAATTTGTAAATATATTAAAAGGTCAAATATAAAAGGACATATTGTCGCTTTTTACTACTCCGTACTAGATTCCATATATAACATGTTTATAAAAGTGTTTTTTAAAACTGAATCAATTTTTATTTGCAAAACATATTTCATCTAAAAAACTTCCACCTTTTCAAGTTCAGGCGCGCCTAGACTTACATTTTTTCATGCTCTTAGTGATCAACTCTAGTTAACCGCCTCTTTCACGCCTTTCCAGTGTCCATGTGCGACAATGTGAGGCGCTTTTTCGCTGACTCATGCCTAGGTGTCTATACCCCGCCTTTTGCCGCCTTCTAGAACACTAGTCGTATATCACATTGGACTATACCATATCTAAATAGACAGACTAGATCATATCAATTTATATTAGCCTTAGAGGCCGTTTGACGACACTGTTTTTCGGCTTATCAGGCTTATCAGCCAACTTTTTCACCAAACACGTAACTTTTGTTTTCGCGCGCTGAATTGTGTAATAAGCAGAAAAAGTAAGATTGGAGTTACTTTTCTGGCTGTATTGGCTGAAGTTACTATAGATGACCATTTTGGCTATTTTTACATATATTTTTTTCTTTATTTTATTAATAGAATATATTTTTAAAATGATTTTTTTCTTAAATCAACAGAATCAGCCAATGCAGCCACTTCAGCCAGAACTTCATAAATTTCAGCAAAATCAGCCAAAGCAGCCAATTTTCGTGCTACCAAACGGGCTCTTAGATAATATGGAGTAGTAAATACACATCAAAAGGCTTTAACAAATCAGAATAGTTCAAATTTTAGACTTATATAGAACCCGTCATAAATTACGTATAGATTCCAGGCTTTGACACGCACACAGGGGGGCGGAGGCAGGCCCGTGCCTTATGTTAGGCTGGAGAGGCCCAAGCCTCAGGGCCCCAAAAAATTGAAAAATTAGGGGCCCATAATTTTTAAACATTATTATTATTATACCTATGTATTTTCCAAGGTCATCGCCACTTGAGACGGTTCCCGGTGGTATTTTTTGACGAAATTTTTTGAATATCTTCTTCATTAAGTCTTATTTACCCGTACCAAATTTTAGTAAAAAATTCAATCGGGAAGGAAGTCAAATGAATTTTTGAAAATAACTGCGTAGTTAAACAACACAGTATATTTCAGAAAATCATTTGAGTGCCTTAATGAAGAAGATGCTCAAAAATTTTCATAAACAAATTCCACTGGGAATCACCCCAAATGGCGACGGTCGGACAGAACCTCTTATATAAGGAGCAATTTGCACTTTTTAAGTTAGTTCGAGGGCTGATTTGTAGAGAAAATTAATAGTATATATTGTTGATTATTCCACTAAATTATGTATCTAAAACTGTTCGACGGGTTTTACTTACGTAATTTTTTTAATACATTCAATGTCGTTTTGTGATAATGGAAGACTTTTATTGAAAGATTGCGTTTTTATAATATTTAATCATTCAATTTTAGTGAATTTATATGATAAACAACCACTATGTATGGGGCCATGTTTCATGTGTGTCAATGATTCCTCGACAATGCACAAATTGAAGCATATATATTGGAGATAGCACATGTAGCTAAGCCAATCAAATTGTGGGACACCTAGGAGGGGAAGGATCAGTCATTGTATGTTTATATTACACTATACGCAATTTAATAAAAGAAAAAACCATTATATGACCCGCGACACCAATTTTATCCCATTATGTAAAGAAAGAAAGAAAACAGGGAAAACTATCAAATAAGCCCCCGTACTATACCGAAAAAGTCGATTAGGCACTCATACTTTACAAACACTCAATTAAGTCCTCGAACTATTAAAAAACGTTCAATTAGGCCCTCTTGGTCGGTAAGTAACCGGTTTCCCGGTTAAACGGCGACGAGAGCGACGATGTGCTCGAACCCCAGTAACGGCGGCTGCAGGGAAACGGGTTACATTTAACCGGGAAACCGGTTACTTACCGACCAAAAGGGCTTAATTGAACATTTTTTAATAGTTCGAGGACTTAATTGAATGTTTGTAAAGTACGAGGGCCTAATCGACTTTTTTGATATAGTACGGGGGCTTATTTGATAGTTTTCCCAAAGAAAACATCACCCAACTTTAGTTTTTGACAAAAATAACACTCCCTCCCTAAGATTCATATCTTCTCATTTTCCTTTTTTTGACCGTAACATTCATATTTTCCAAGTTCTAAATCTTCTCATCACACTCTCAATAATTTTGAAAATAATACGTTATTACAACTACTTTTTTTTGGAATTTATCCTTCATTCTAGCATACCATTTCATTATCTTTCAATCGTACCCTCAATAATTTACATCCCATTTCACTTCATTACAGCACACTAGTTCACTATCTTCTCATCATACCCTCAATAATTTATATTTTCTTTCACTATTCTTCATATCGCCTACTTTTAAACGGGGAGATATATATGATACGGAGGTAGTACTATTCTATTTAGCACAGTAGCACGTTCATACATCCACACACTGTCCGTCCATTTGTCCTACTCCGTATGATAAATGATTAAAATCTCAACTATGAAATTAATTTGTTTCAAGTAGTCCTCTATATTTGGAATTTTCAACATTGGTTTTTTACACAAACTTCAATTATGAAATAGTAGAGATTGGAGATAGTGAAGAGTATAAAAAGTGTAATTTTGTAGATGAAAAATGAAAGTTATGAAAAAGAAGATGAAAAGGTAGGGATAAGAGGGTCGGATGTTTTGAATTGATTTTATTTCCGGTTCTTTATTAAAAGTGTAAGTTGAAACAAAATCAGTTTTCCGAGAAAAGATGAAAAGATAAGGGGGTAAGAGGGCCGTATAATTTGACTTTACACTTCATTTCTAGTTGATATTTTACTTTGCACCATCTTTTCAAAATCATTATTATTAGGCTAAAGGGTCAAATAGGTACATGAACTAACTTAAACTGTTCAATTAGTCCCTTATATAGGAGGTTCTGCCCGGCCATCGCCAATTGGGACGGTTCCCGGTTGATGTTTTTGATAAAATTTTTTGAGCATCTTCTTCATTAAGTCTAATTTACCCATATCAAATTTCAGCTAAAAATTAAATCGGGAAGACAGTCAAATGATTTTCCGAAATGTACTGCGCTGTTTAACTGCGCAGTTATCTTCAAAAAATCATTTGACTGCCTTCCCGATTGAATTTATAGCTGAAATTTGGTATGATCGAACTAGACTTAATGAAGAAGATGCTCAAAAAATTTCATCAAAAAATTACACCGGGAACCGCCCCAATTGGCGACGGCCACGCAGAACCTCCTATATAAGGGGTTAATTGAACACTTTAAGTTAGTTCATGTACCTATTTGACCCTTTAGCCATATTATTATTATTTGACTTTGCACCTGACTACTTCACAAGTTTAAGGCTAATGGGTGCACACATTAATGATTTTGAAAATGGGGTGTAAAGTCTAATATTGTCTAAAACATGGAATGTAAATTAAATTCTTTCGAAATTTAAAGTCCTTTATGTAATACTCCGTAAAACAATGAAAATATCATACTAGACATTGCACATATAAAATTACATTTTATACATGTTAGTAATATCATTAGTTAAGAAACATATGTTTTTGGTCCACTCATTTAGACCATAGACATTACGCTAATCGCAACCCACCTCCCTCAATAAATTAAATTCACCATCAATTTATGTGTGTTCACTCGGTCAATTCAGTTTTTACTGCAACCCAGCATCGTCAATATTTTCTCTCAGCAAAGGTTTTTTAATTAAAGTCATACTTTTATTATTATACATAAAAAAAATTACAATGTATTTTTTTGCGAGTAATTATGATTTAAAAAGTCAAACATTTCGATGTAAAATTACATAAATTTGGAGTTTATTTTTTTTAATGTTCTTTCAAACGTATTTTGAAATAAAATCAAAGATGTCAAAAAATAATCATGCGATCTTAATTTTTTAGTATTTGAATTTATTTAAGAACAATTGGGTCTGAAAACCTCCAAAGGTGAAACTTCATATTTTTTTATTTACTTTATATATGATGGACAATGTACCCGGGGGGTAGCCTATCCGAGGGGTTATTACGAGAATAACCTAGAGAGAAGTCAGAGCAAACAAGTAAGAGAGAGAGAGAGATGCGATTGTATTAATGAACTCGAGATGTTCTGGTCCTTTACAATGGGAAAGGGGGTGCTATTTATAGCAGCAATAAATGCGAGGAGAGTACACATGTCAGCAATCTAACGGCCGAGGGGTCACCTCAATCGGGTGGCACTGGCATTCGCATGTGCACCGCATTGAATGCGGTGGGTGGATGTGACGCCGCATTAAATGCGGTGGTTGCGTGTCTCCAAAGGGAATCTTTGATGATTGAGTTGTTGGCCGAGGGCTCCCCCCGCGGCCGAGGGCTCTGTGTAGCTGAGGACGCTGTACAGCCGAAGGCTTCCCAAGTGCCGAAGGCACGAAAGTGCCGAAGGCTCCTGTTTTCTGCCTTTTTCTCCCAGTAGCTTTGTATGCTCAAATCTGGCTGCCCTGTGTAATTTGGAGCCTTCGGCCATATTGCCGAAGGGTACCCTGGGCGCACCTTGGGCTCCTTTGAGCTTGGGCCGCTGTGTTTTGGGTCTCTTGCGCTTCTTGGGCCTTCGTAGGAGGAGTAGAAGACTGTGGGCCGAGGGTTCTGGGCCATATACTCCATCAATATATGCAATAATGGTGTGATATGAAAGATTATAGAAAATTATGAATATTGATATATTTTTTGTTAACATTGGAACACAATTAATAAAGTTATTACACTTTAAAGAAAATAAGAATTTTTATTTTTATTGGGCCCACGTCTTTTCTTACGCATGTGTCTGTTTTCTCCTCTGCAGACATCCTTTGTTTCTCTCTTCAGTGAATCAATTTATCTAAATCTCACTCAAAGAGTGTCCTCAAATATGTCTTACTCATTCCAGGGTTGCGGTTGGTCATAGGCAATAAGGAATAACACACGGTAATTAGAGAGGAGCAGTGGGTCGTTGACTTACAATAAAACAGTAAAGATTCGAGTATAATAAAGTGAAATAATGTGGATAGATATTTTTTTTCCAAAAAGAAATATAACACTTATTTTGAGACAACTTAAAAGGAAAATAAGATAGATAAAATGGACGTGGGAAGTATATACTACTCCTTCTGTCCTGCTAAGTTGTTTCATATTTCCCTTTGAATCCGTTCCGCTAAGATTGCCTTACACGAAAATCTGTAAAATTTGTAACTTCGTATAGATATAAAACATTTTTAATTTGTTCTTTCTTTATCAATCTCACAAATCTACTTTTCTTAATAACTGCATCATCTCCTCATATCCTTATGTTAGTGGAACTATAATAGTAAATAGGGATGCCTCATGGTCTTACATGCCCCTTAACCGCATAGTTCATGCACGGTGGAGATGTGTGGTTAAGCTGTCTTTCTTATACAATGAGCAATGCATAAGATTATCGAGATAAGTGTAAAAAAACTCACATATAAATCTCTTCTAAGCCTAGAGGTCGTCTCCTCTCTTTGTAGGGGTTGAGATTTTTTGCTGCCCTATCAATATGGGGCTGGAGAGGCAAATTATATTGATTCTAAGCATTCTAATGTCTGGGATTGCAACTACGCCGGAGGAGAAAACCTTGGCGGATGAACAAGTTGTAGCTTGGAGTTTGTATCAGTGTTGGATTGTGCTGGCTTGATTGGCCGCTCCGACGGTGGTGGAATTAGTATTCACCCATATTTCAAGAGCTCGTCCTCCTCCGGAACTAGGCCTGGGACCGGTTCGGTTCCTAGGCAAAATATGTGGAACCGTTTGAAAACATGAAATTTTACTAACGGTTCGGTTCTTATAAATTACTTTATAGAACCGATAAGGAACCGAACCGTTCTTAACGGTTCGGTTCTTATCATTTAACGGTTCCTAGTCTTTGAAAAAATTCTTACAAATTACAACTAAATTATTGGCAAAAAGACATTTCGTTGGAAATTACAATACAAATATGTGGAACTAGTTAAAGAGAATAATAATTTTAAATAGTTTGGACCTTCCGAGTTCCGACCCGCTGGAGTTTGGACCTAATGAGAGGCCTAAGAGAACCGGTGGAAGTGAATGATAGTTTTAAATAGTTAAATAACAAAACTAAAACAATGAATGTAATATAAAAATAAGTAAGTAAATATGCATTAAAATATATATACTCCTAAGAATATGTATATAATTTTAATTATTATATATAACGATTCCTTAACGATTCTTGTTACATATTTTTTTCAGGAACCGAGAACCGAACAGTTAATAAAAAATGGGAACCGAACCATTAACAAATAACTAATAAATGTTGGAACCGAACCGAACCGGTTCATAACGATTCAGTCCGGTTTGGTTCTCCGGTTCTTGGTTCCAAAGTCCCAGCCCTATCCGGAACCACCTCCGTACCAGGAAGAGTTTTGTGAAAAGAGTTTATTTTAATATTATTTTCTCTTTAGTAGTACTTGTTTTTATTTCAGTCCGAGTAGGTTTGGTTGGATGTTTGGATTTTTGAAATTCTTTTAATAGGCAGGGTTTCAGTTCCAGTCGTTTTAGGCTTAAATTTGTCCGTTTCAAATTTAGCGAGTCAGGTTGCTTTGTATGAGGTGGTTAACTTTATGTCTACTCCTAGGGCTCACGATTGAATCTGTAAAATCCATCCGAAAGTTGTCTTGTATGTTTCTCGATATTAATATAAAAGCCAATGTTAAAGATTTTAATTATATCACGTTTTACGATTAAAAAAAAAAGACTATCAGGATAAGTATCTGTAGATATTGGGTTTGGTTATAATTTTATTGGTTCAAGCTGAGTGACGAAAATTATTTAATAGAAGTTAATTATTTAATGATATGATAATAAAATATATAAGTTTTTATTAGTGGGCAGATTATTGGAGAAAGAAGTTATAGTTCATAAAAAAAGACCTATACAAAATTAGATTGTTTGATCCTAACAAGACTCATAAAAGTTTGAAATTTTAAAAAATCCAAAAAATGACATTAAGTGGCTAGTTTCAACTTTAAACTTTAAAGTGGCTCATCTAGCGGTGACTTGTACAATAACTAGTTATTTTTAACTCTTGTCCACTTACTCATATACAATGAGTCAATGACTAGTTATTTTTGTCTAAAAATATAACTAATAAGTTTTTGTTCAGGGAAACTCTATTGGTAATATAGATGTCAATTTTTCATTTTTCTTCGCTTCCTTTTGTAATGCTTAAATGGAGTCATTTATTTTGGGTTTGTTGTCAGTGAGGTATTGCTACGAAATCGATTGAAAATTGTTAGAGCCCTCTAAGTTCTCCAAACACATTTGGTAATACAGCAGCAAAATTTCGGGAAACATACACTATACAAGACCTATCACAAGTTGTAGCAGAGCAAGAAGACCAATTTCCTTATAAGCACAAAGCTTATTCTCCTGTATCTTTCGGCTTATTTATATTTTGCAGAACCGGATTTTTTACAAATCATTTCCCCTTGATAAATAACAGTCCCATACAGGCCCCAACTCCCCAAGTGTTCAATCATTTGTACAATCATGTTCCGAATTATATCTCCTCTACTATAGCAATAAAAATAGCATAAGGTTAAGCAAAAAAGCTTTCGAACTCATTCACGTCTTTCAAATTTTTGTACTTGCACTAAAAATGAGCAATAGGCTGTGCTGTATTGGAGTCTTTCCTTCAGGCACTCATTTGAACAAACCTGGTGTGGCTCTTTCTCTCTCTTCTCTATAATCTCCGCCCCAACCATCTCAAACTTCATTATGAACCTCAATCTCAGCTTCTTTCACCTGACAAGCACTCATTATTGTGAGAAGGTGATGCCAAGGCTTATTGTTTTGCTCGCAAGACTTGAGACATCAGACCCAATTGTATTTATCTATTCAGATCCTAGAAAGCAGTCATGTTATCTAATCCTCAAGTCAAATGCTGGAAAGCAGTCATGTTATCTAATCTCCAAGTCCGATGCTAGATAGCAGTCATGTTAGATAAAATCTAAGCTCTATTTGCACTAGGTAGAGCAGAGGACAAGAACTTACCCAGGTGATATAATATCTAAGGGCAAATATGTGACAGAGACCTAGAAAATACTAGTAATAAGTATAATAGTAGTTTTTTAATATAGTACAATAAAAGGTGTTTAGGCCCTGAATTAAATAGCAAGTGGGTTGGCCCAAATGGAAAAGAATAAATGGGAGTTGGGGGTAGAATTGGGGGGGGAGAAATTGGGTTTAGACTGGGACTTGGGAGAGGGAGACTGCTCGAAGTGTCTCAAATCTGTTCTTCATTATTTCTGTTCTCAAATCTGAGGTTGGATCAATAAATTACTATATTCCTACTGCGTTTATGGAGGTTTCTATCAATGGTATCAGAGCAGTCGGCCCTGAGAAGCTTCGATCGACATTCACACAAAAAAAAATGGAGAATAGCAACTCTGGTTTGCGAGCAAATCTGGAGAATAGCACCCGAAGTGTCGAAGGCCATGTTACGATGGAAATGATGCTGGGCGAGATGATAAATCATCTGCGTAAACAGCGTCGCCGAAGAACTAGAGGCCGAGCGAGGAGCCCTCCTAAACACCGTCGGCCAACCGAAAATCAGGTTTCTTCATCCGTAGCTCCTCGTTGTTCACAATCGAAAACAGTTTTGCCTAGTTCGCAGGCATCGTCGCGTGCGCAGATTTCTTCTCAGTCGCGGGCACTTCCGTCCAGTTGTCTGGCTTCTTCGCGAACTTCATCTCACAGTTCGCAATCGCGAACTTCTTCTATCAGTTCGCAGTCGCTAAAAGTATCTCTCAGTTCGCAGGTTTCCACACCACCAGCTTCTCTCAGTTCACATCAAAGTGCTACGCGATTGATGGGAGAATCTTCCGCTTCGCACTCACAACCTGTTTCTCCCAGTTCGCACTCGCAGACCGTCTGTTCAAGTTTGCAGGTGCCATCTCTATCCGATCTGTCCAGTACGCAGGTGTTGAAGCGAGCAGATGTTCCCAGTTCGCAGACGGTGTCGCGGACAACTTCTCTCAGTTCTCATCCAAGTGAGACGAGATTGACAGGAGGTTTCAATTCGCAGATTTCGTCTCAGTCACAAGCAACTTTCCCCAGTTCCCAGGCTTCTTCGCCAGCCAATTCTCTCAGTTCGGGTCAAAGTACGAAGCCATCGAGAAGAGATTCCAGTATATACTATCCTCCGTTCTTTAATTCTTGCAACAGTTTGACTTTCACGTTTGCCAACGCACAACTTTGACTGTAATTATATTTAATTATGTATTAGTAAACATTATAAAAAGTTGATATTTTGGAAATTTACATCGATAGGAATTCAATAACATTTATACACAATAATTTGCTTGTGTATATTAGTAGAAAGTCGTGGTCAAAGTAAGGTCTGTGAATAGTGTAAAAATCACAATGTTGCAAGAATTAAAGAACGAAGGAAGTATATGATAGATGAAGAAAACAAATCACCATCAAGTCTTTCAGTGACATCAGCCAGTGAAGAAAACAAAGTCTGAGAAAAAGGAGGACAAAATTTAAATGCAACACCAAAATAATTCCTCTGCGGGATTTGATAGTTTGAGCTATGATCAAGGTTATAATTCTGAACATATGAAAGTAGCTAACATTATTGTCACAGAAAAGATACTACACCATTATCATATCACAGAAGAATTAGAGGTCCATGGTTGTCCTGGTGTGGAATATAATCATCACTCTGGTGGTGGTGTGATGTACTGGAATCATCTTGGCGGGATTCAACAGCTCTTAGCTATTGGGAAAACAGATGGAAGACTGAACGTCATTGAAGAGGAACACACTTCCCACTGCATTACTAAGCTGTTGTCTCCACCAGTTTCTACAGAGTATTCTGAAAAAGAGAATCAGTCGAGCTGTTATGCACCAATGCTGAATATCCTGCTAGTTGGCATACCACTAGTAGACTGTACAATTACTTTCTCTTGATGGCAAGGATCTTCAACTTGTTGAGTCTCTGATGACCATCTGTGAAGTGTTTGGATCATGTATTCCGAATATCTCATGGACAATGCTAGTAGGAGTGAAAGTCACAGCTCATTCTGAAATTTCTAATGTGTTTACTGTACTTTTTAAGTTGGGAAGTTCTAACCATCCACCTATTGAGTATGGAGCTGGATAAGCTAATTTCACAGAGAATTCAAGAAAAGAAGATGAAGAAAAGAGATGGCGCATCAACTGAAAGTATCGTATAACAGGAAATATAGAGAGAGAAATACAAAGGCAGTTTAAGAGTGCCAACTCTCTGAAGTCCCAAACCCAATTGATAATTCCAATATCCTTCTATTCTACCCTCAACCTCTATTTATACTAACTATTCTAATACTCTGTATTATTATTACTCTTATTATTATCAGTGCTATTCAGCCGGATTACTATCATGTGCCGCCCATGAACTGCCAGTTAACGCGTGAACACCTCTTATTAAAAGAAGAGCATTCCCAGAGACAGATAAAAGCAGAGTCAAACATACTCACATTCTCTGCTATTTATGGCATTCATTACACAGGACGCCCAGCAGATAATCAGGAAGGGACAGAAAATGTTGCGGCTGATGCCAGCTCACTATCAAAGCCTGCTTTGCTTGAAGAGACAGTTGCTGAAGCTGCAGAGGACATATGGGATCACTATGGATATGAATTAGGGACTGATGATTCAGGAATCTTCAAAGCACTTTCGAACATCAACTTTAACATTAGAGTTGCTGCTGCTGAAGCAATTGCTGCAG